CTTTGTACGTAGGTGTCAAAATTGTTTTGGCCTCCATCCATGCACTTTGTGTTGTTATTTACTTCGTAGACTTTTTGATATGTTGTACAACTGATTTTTCTACACCACCTAAGCATATTTGACAAAAAATTCTGGAGCGGTTAATGAGATACACATATTTTAATATTTAAAAACTGAGGGGGGATAGGGGGTGGTGGTTGCTGGTGGGAAAGGAGATGACCACCCTTTTTTCCACCTTTTCTTCTTGTAAGTTTCTCATCAAATATGCTTTTTATGTCTTAAAAAAATAAGTTGTACAAAATATCAATTTTTTTTTCTCTGGCACCTGTCTTTGAGATATTATTCATCTAATTTGTTGTGATTTTATTTGTGTGAGGACAAATACAATAAACAAACAAACAAATGATAAAAATTATTTGTACGTACAATGATTCATTTATTTATTTGGACCTTACAGGCCCTCAGATAATTTTACTGTATAAAAGTCTGTTAATTAGGAAAACTAAATTGTTTTTATCCATGTTGCATTGAAAGTGTTAACCTAATAATTCTAGTACACAAACAATGTAATGTTTTGATTTAAAATCTTTAGGGGCTTTCCCATTTTTGTTTTCTACAACAGATATATATCAGTATATCTTAGGAGTATATCGTACAGCTTCCTTCATCATACTGTGCTTTTAATATTTTATATCCGATGAATTGGTTGTCCCACAATGATTCTATTCTTATCTTTGCTAACAATATTGCATTACAGGAAGATGCCCATCATAATAAAATATTAATTGTTTCCCTCAAAAACCAATCCAATAATTTTGAAATTATGATTTCCTTAAAGAAATTGGAACCATTTATGTCAGGGTGTAGAAGTGCTGCCAAATATCTGCTGGCATCAATAGAAGAGCTAGCCAAGATGAGCTGGGATGGCACCTCTGATGAGATCAACGACCTGATTGAGAAGGTGAAGGCAAAGCACAAGATGATCTATCGGGACCAAAGACTGGCTGGACTTCTGGAGGAAGGTGATGCCATTCTGAAGACCTTGCAAGATGAGCAGGGCACAGCTCTGGCTGGATCCAAAGACTTCAGGTAAGAGACATAGTAGTATATATATTGGCCTGTATCCTCTGAGAGTCAGGGGATCCAGGGATTGCATAGGTGCTCTAGTGGAGTCCAGGAGAAGAGCTCTTGTAGAGATCAGGGACAAATCCCCTGGAGCTAAGTTATGCTAAAACAGGTAAAAGGTAAATTCCATCATCATTTTAGTGGTTGTTACGCAATGGGAAGGTAGTTGTGATATTTATTGAAAGAGTTTTCACAGCTTGAAAATGCAATTCTTGAGAACCTAGGAAAGTGGGGGGTGCCTACATTGGGGAGACAGTCCACAATTCGTCGTTTTTAGACTCTAAAATCGATTAAACATGCTTTGAAACCCCTAAATTGTCATATTTTCAGGGGGCTACGTCCTCTGGACCACTTAAGAAGGGTTTTTAGCGACGCCTGACCAATTATTCTACTGATCAATGCAACTTATTTTGTTCATTCTAACAAGTCCAGAAATAAGTCTTCTGCCCTCTACTTTTATTAATTCATATTTGTCTGCTGCCCTCTCTGGTATTTTAACTTTTTTTCTCTTCAAAGAACTAGAAAGCTATTATTTTATTTACTGCCCTCTCTAAACTAAAAGTATTTATTTCTTTTATAACATTTTTATTTCTTTTATGAAAACAGTACTAATTGACTTTAAATTAATGAAAAATCATGATAACATGATTTTTCATTAATTTAGGAAAATAAATCACTCAAATATTTAGATGATTTGTAAAGGTACATTATTAATAAATGCAAATTAGAAATATAGAAATTTTCAATATATATACATTATCAATGATACCTTTTGGTTATTATTTACTAATTAATTAGATCACTTCAAGAATTTAATATGGAAATATCCATGTGAAGTGTTGTAAGGTGAAAGCTTTAGGGTATTTAGGGCCTTGAAATGTAATGATTACCCTAAGGAGAGCTTCTTAAGCCTGCAAAGTCCAACAATAGAGGAATTGCTAGTAAACTACCAACCCCTTTATTTGCATATTGAAGGGCTTTGCCCTGAAGCTGGCCTGCAATTAAAACAAATACAGTAAACCGCTTTCTCACTCAATATTAACCTGTAAACTTAATTTCTATTAACTAGGCCTGGAGTCTGTTTTATGCATATGAACTGAAGTAGAAATATTTTTGTATAGTCATCATAAGTGTAGTTAGATTGAGGCTAGGCCTAAGGTTTGGAGGAAAGTGGATATTTAAAATCTCTTAGCTGTTGACTTAAGGAATACAAGTGCTTTATTACCTCGATTGCAACATAGTGAACAAAAACCAATCATAACTCTACCACACAAAAGCCTCAGGCTGATTTATTACTATTGAAAATTCAAAGCTTGTAGATAAGTTAACTTGATTTATAGCTTGTTGAAAGAGTAAAGCTGGCTTCCAAAGCTTTAAAAGGTTAGAAAGATAAGAATATTGAGAGATCAAAGTACACTTTTAAAGCCTCAGATAAATACACAGAAAGGAAGAGCTTAACCAAGCAGAGGGCCTAATCGGGAGATTTACACAAAACCATAAATTATGATGAGGACCCCTGTTAGAGGGCCTACAGAGTTCATTACCAGTTTCCGACTGGACTGGTAAACACAAATGCACACCTGAACGTTTCTAAGTGGTATCATAAGCGCTGGTGCATACAGCTTTGCAGTGTTTAGATTTCCGGAGATTTGAAGCAGGTGATGAAGAGGAAAATCTCTTATTTGAATAACTGATGATTACTAATGAGATGGATTTTTGAGCCAGTTCAAATTTCTTCAGTCTACCAACGACAGTTATGAAGGACGTGTGTGTAACGGATCTGATTATTAAGTTCCTGGCCTACTACTATGGACAGACTGTGTACTGAAAGAAATCCAATTGGAATTTTTAAAACATTCAAACTACTTCAGAGAAATTTCTAGGAAAGTAATATATTTGAAGCAAAAAGATGGCAAAGTCTTGGAAACGTTTAAGGTAACTTCTGCACTGAAGAATGTTTTTTAAATATTAAATATTTTAAAGTACAAACATAGGCTCAATGTATTGTACATTTTTAGGATTGCATTTTTGTGGGTTCTGAATTTTTATGGCTCTATAATCTAATAATTTAATAAATGAGTGATAATGTACTACCACATATTAAATAGGAGAACAAAAATTAACTTTCAATAAATTGATTTTAGATTGTTTACTACAAAATACAAAAATCCTTAAATTGATTACCAGCCAATGTGTGGTCTGCAAAAAAATTAAATCTGTATTGCTTTTATTTCTGCTAATTGGCAAGGGAAATATTTATCCTGCCAATTTCCTAGTCAACGCTAATAATTCAACCTACTTAAACTAAACAATTAAAATATTTTTTAATTAATTATAATTTTTTTTTAATATTCACAGATGGTATACATTTAATAAAATGAAAAAAAAAGTTTAAAGGCATTATATTTTTCCATGCCTTCACTGATCAATAACTTGAATAAATTAGATGTACTCTGTAGATTAGAAAATTGTTGAGAGGCAACTTTTAATGAAGTTTAGACAGTTCACTACAAAATCCATAAATTAATAACCAGCAATTTTAGGGGTCTGCAAATGAATAATATGTCTGCTAATTGTTGAGAAATATATTTTTATCTATCTAATTTTCAGTTAAAGTAGTTATTGTAACTACTTAGCAAACTAAACCATTATAAATTTAACTTTATTTTAAAAGGTTTAAAACATTTTTACACACAGAGATGGTATACATTTAGTAAAATAAAAAATAAAAGTTTAAGGCATTTTATTTCGGCGTGCCTTCTGTGATTAATAGTTTGAATTAATTTGGAGTAGATTATAAAATCTTTGAGAGCCATTCATTTTCAAGGCCTGATGTACAATACAAATGAAGGTCTATAGCTCTTAATATGTTGTTTGCCAATGTGCAACAGAGTAAACCTCCTTAGGGACAAAGGTAGGATGATTTTTAAGACAAGATTAAAGTTAATTACTTATTGGATTTGCAATTTACCATACTTAAGTATTGTATAGCCATGTTTATGTAGATTTTTGGTTGTTTTCATAAACTTTGTTCCAAGTTTTCGAAATGTTATAAACAATAAAATAATGTGGAAATTTCTTTTTAATTTTGTATTTATTTTGAAATTTACGAAGAAAATTTATCATTTATTAAAAAAAAATGTATTTAATACAAATTTACATATATATTTAGATTGAGAGGATCTTATGTTCACATTGGACAATACCTTAATAAACTCTTATTGCTAAATCATACGTTTTAACAAGACTTTGCCTGCACTATACAGATTTAAAAGTTACTTTTGTTATTGTTTGTCATTCCAGGCAAAATTTAGTTTGTTCTCTTCCAGTATAAAATTGTACATTTAATGGATTCCACTTCAAACTGACTGTATAGTATCTGTCTCTTATACACATCTAGATGTGTATAAGAGACAGATATTATACGTTGCATGACGTTATTTCTGGAACCAACTTCCAAATTACATAACTTCCAACTCTATTTGCAACTTTAACTCACATCTTAAGACCTATTTGTTTTCCGGTGGCTTTTCACATGCGTTGCTCCTTTGATCTTGTTTGGAATTGGTGCCATATAAATTCGAGATATTATTATTATTATTATTATTATATAACTAATAAAACCAAAGTAAATATCAACAAAGCAGAGTCATGCTATTTGCATCTGAACTTTTTGGACCTAATTTCTTAACTTTACCTCCTAATGGAACCCAGCTATTCTTATGATTTGTTCACACTATATAATTATATGTGACAAATTTGGGTGTAATATAACATCACGAATCAACAGACGTTTAATATATAATATAATTTTAAAACAAAATTCATTGACAAAAAAGAAGATTGACGTTTCGAGAATGTGTCCATGATGGACTTGAAACGTCGATCTTCTTTTTTGTCAATAAAATTTGTTTAAAAAAAAAAAAAAAAAAAATATGACATCATCATTTCATTTGTCACCTCGAGTTTGATAGTGTGAACAAAACTTTAAATTATTTGCACTGAATTTATTTTGTTTAAACAATGGTAACTAGCATCCTGTAATATAAAAAAAGTGACAGGCAAACATGGCTTTTATAGGTTGCGGGGGCTGTATCACCTACTAAGTGATACAGGGGCTTGTTTCCAAAAGGGGCTTTTTTATTGAAACAATAAACATTAGCAGAAGAGCACACGTATGAGGAGGAGTAAATTTGTATGAAGGGAGTCTTAGTTGGATGTGTATACTTAGCTATCAATTACCAAATGTTGAAAACAAATTTGTGAATTTCAGTCTACAAAAGACTTCTTTTAATAAGCTTGTTTGTTTGTAAATGTGGCCAGCTTTTGTTGGTTTTTTGGAAGTAATTAACATCGCAAATGAAGTCTTCACAATTGATCTGCTTCAGCGATGGCTCGCGACAAGTTCACCGTTCCCACTGAATGGTCAAATACAGGCCCACTACTATCTCCAGCTAATCAGCCCTATTGTTATCCTCTTTGAATAGATAAAACCTGTCTTTTGTCTAGGTTGTCAAATGAAGGAGGAGAAGAATCATCAGGCTGTGGGACTGAAAATCGCTGTCACATCATTAATAAAGGATAATAGATGAAATTAAATCCAGTGTGAAAATGTTTTTCTATGTGAAACGTACCCGTGACCCAAAAAGAATAAAACCAGATACAACTTAAAGAAAATAATTGGAATCAAAAGATTTGATCATGAAGAAAAAGTCTTTTTGTAAGGAGTTAATGGGTGACGACGCATGCCTTAGAATAAACACTTAACTCAGCCTACGATTTCTTTGAGCTTGGCACTAATGACACAGAACTGGTTACCTTTACCTCACAGTTTAAATATTTTCAGTACTTTTATGAGGGTATTTGACCACTTCCAAGCAACAAAACGGAAATGTTGAATTGATGAGGTGGAAAATCTAACTGTCAAAGTTTATTTAGTTTCCTCAATCCCTCCAAAACATCTGTTAC